GCGCCTTGATGTTGTCCCACAAAGTGGAGGACCTACAGTTTTACGCCGACTCCGAACGGCGATTGTATTTTTATGAAGCTGTTTTTCATGGCAGAAATACACTCGGAGGTTTGCCATTGCCTGCCGAGGGGCGACCGCTGGTGCTTTGACCAGGGCTTGAACCCTGGTCTACGTGGTGGAAGCGCGCACTGCTTACCACTACACCACTGCGGCCGCCAATTTGATTTATATCACATATAAATAAATAAATAAATACCAGTACTCGAATCCATGATAAAAATATAGTAAGATAGAACCGCTGAGAGTCACTTTTAAAATTCTTGACGTTTCCAAACAATTTAATTTTTAAATGTACTCACAAACTCACACACACATTTTCATTTTCAATCTCAAGCAACAACAATTTCGAACAATTTCAATTTTTTATTTTCACTTTTATATGATTTTAAAATGTTGGCAAACTTCAAAAAAAAAATCATGGCCGACAAATTGAGAGAACGGTTCTACCTTGCTATGTTTTTATCATGCTCGAATCTATCCAATGTGGAAATATAAAGACTGTACGAAATTAACTTCAAAAATATGTGTATTTTTACTATGACTTGGTTAGCTAAAGGCTAAGATTTTTAGGATTGTTTATTAAGGAGTCAGAATGCCATATGGGCATTTTCCAACAAAGGTAAACCGAAAACGCAAGTAAATGAATTCAAACGGCTTTATAACCTTAAATTTCGTATTCAGATGGCGAACAGAGGTTTTGAAAATGCGAAACGGTGGAGAACTGAAACAATTAAATAAAAAATTAAATTAAGCATGTGCTACCAGATTTTAATTCAAAACTAAATCAACAACGAATTGCTTCTGATTAAAAATTAATAACGGCTCTAGTTTGACTTTATTTAAATTTGTCAACCAAAGGACAGTATAAAAGCTACAAGTGAATTCAGAGAGCGCATATTCCGACCTGCCTTGTTTGAAAAATGTCATTATTGTCCATGGTACAGTAATTACAGGTATTGTCTTCCCAGAGACTTTTGCTTCACATCGAAATTCGTGCTCCCTTATTTTCATTTTGACGCAGATCAATGTTGATTCTTTTACTTTTATTTGGCTTTGCTTTTTGTTTTCGCTAAATTTAATTTGTATAATTTTTCAAAACAAAAGAAAAAACGTTTGAAATGAAGTGAGCCATACCAATTTTGAATTTATTTACTAAGCAAATGTTTTTTCCGGCTTTTGCAAATTAATTAAGTCCTCTGCCTTTTCCCTAGCAGTAAGGCTTTTAGTGTGGGCAACAATGTTTTTCAAATAAGGCAGATCGGAATATGCGCTCTCTGGGAAGACAATACCTGTAATTATTGTACGTTGATTGTTGCCTACACTAAAAGGGTTTCTGTCATAATAATCAAATTGAAAAATTTTGTTTGAATTTCTACACACCCTCTTACAGATTTTGACAGTTTATGCCGCCAAAGCAAAAACAAAATACATGTAAATTTTTGTTTTTGTACTCCTGCTATCACCTTATATTAATTCGCCTTGGTGTTTATTTGGTATTTATTTGACATTTGAATCATTTCGAGAGAGTGTAATCCAAATGCTAGCAAACGTCAAAAAAAACCAATGGCGGACGAATTGAGCGAGCGGTTTTACCTTTAAATATTTGTATCATGACCAGCGTTGCCATTTTAGCCGTTTTCTGGCTAGATTTAGCCGATTTTGATAGCAACTAGCCGGAGAAAATTCGATCTAGCCGGCAGCCGATTTGTTAGCCGGTTTGTAAAAAAAAGTTAGCCGTTTTTAGCCGATTTTACTATTTGCCTAATTTTCAGGTGCAAAAAGTAAACAAGTTGTTCGAAAGCAATAATGCAGACCTAATGAAGATTTTTAATGAACTCAATGTTTTACTTTCGCATCTATGCTCTCTAGTGGTTATTAGCGCGGACACATTTGATCCTATATGCTCCCCGTTGGAACCATACCTTGCTCCATTTCCTCAGTTTTATCACAGTTTTGAAGAGTATTTAAAAACAAAAGTAAGCACAAACGCTTTTGACCACGAAGCCGAGAAAATAATTCGAGAAAATGGTCGCTATTTTATTATCACTTTAATAAAGGAATTACGCCAACGCCTCCCTACAAATATTGCCACACTACAAAAAATTGACTTTTTTCGGTTGGAAATGCATTAAGAGTAATTAAACCAAAAGTATTTGTTCAACTACAGCAACAAAAGCACAAATATAATGCCGACGAAATAACATCCACATAGAGATGCAATGGCAACGGTTAACGTTACATACCTGGAGTAATTTAGACTCAACTGTAAAATTTTGGGCCGAAGTTTATCAATTTCGAAATGCCCTAGGAGAAAACCCTTTTGCTGACCTTTGCAACCTAGTTTTTAGTTTTCTTGTTTTGCCTATAAGTAATGCAGAAGTAGAGCGAATATTTAGTTCAATGAATATAATAAAAACTAAGCAAAGAAATCCAATGTGCGTTAAAACGTTAAACGCTATTTTATACATATATAAGATACGGTTTAAAACTTGAAGAAAAATGCTGCCATAATTTTACTGTAGATGACGATCTCTTAAAATTAATGAATTCAGGTGATATATACAATAGTGATTCATTTGATGATGAGGAATATACACTCGATATAAATTAATGGTGTTAACTAGTCTTTCGTTTCTTGCGATTTATTTAAATAAAGCATGTGAATTTTCACTAAATCATTTTAGCCGTTTTTTGCCAGAGTCTATGTGAAATTTCACTAAAACATTTTAGCCGTTTTTAGCCGCTTTGTTTTGCCAATCTAGCCGGTCGGCCCAAAAAGTTCTGGCAACACTGATCATGACTAAGAGTAAAAGAATCTACATTGAAATGCGTCAAAATGAGAATAAGGGAGCACGAATTTTGATGTGAAGCAAAACTCTCTGGGAAGACAATACCTGTAATGATTGTACCATGATGATTTCATGTATCAATTTTCAAATACGCATATAGTCAATGGCTGGTTTACTGTATACTGTTAATAAAACGAGATTTCAAAAACGAAGAACTCTTTAGAATTAAATTTTGTTGTAGGTAAACCTTCCACAAAACTACTATTTTGGCAGAATATAAAACTAAATTTACTATGACACACAAGGAAATGAAGTTGGCTCTAATTTTTATTAATTTTAGGGCCAATTCACTGTACTGAAAATCTGAAGTTAACTGTCGATTCTCAGTTAACTACGCACTGTTAATTTGGCCCTTAGTAACGTGTGCTCTAACTGACGACTATGGTTATGCCCCTATGTACTGAGTAAATTTAGACTTAAAACTTTTTTTAAATAAACTGGAGTTCGGAACATTTTGATTCAGCTTTCTTCTATTTGACACTTAGATTATCAATCCAGTCTTACCCCTAAATTTTATATGAGAATATTCCGTGATCTTGGATGTTATGTTTTTTGAGTTTTGCAAGTTTATTTTGCATTTTTCCTAAAAAAAAGGTTTAATACAAATTTGTGTACAATTTGGTTTCCAACATTTTTATTATTAACGGTTAAAAAAAAAAAATTATTGTAAATACTTCGCAAAAAGGGCGAAAAAATTGTACATTCTGGCAGTTTCTGCAATTCACTTCCGAGTGGACCTGCTAAACATTTTCAAACCACCGCTGAGTAGTTTTTGTTATTTGTGTTCACTGGAAGGGGTTTCTGCGTGGCGGGTCCCAAACCCAGCGCCCACCACATTGCTCGTTTATATAGCGAGCCGCTTGCTCCAAGACAGACGCCCGCTTGCAGCCTCATCTACTGGTGAACAGACTTCATTGACCACTTATACCGAATAAGTCAGAGTGGTCCCACCGAAGCGGTGCAACTGTAACTGCACAAAAATTGTTGAAAATAGCGAAAACCGTGGCAATGTACCAAATGGTTTATTTTAATTAGGGCTATTCGCGATTCGGTGCATAAGAGCTGACAAATTTATGCAATTGCAGAAATATGCCATGGATTGTGAGCGACCTTTATTAAACTGTCATGGTAAAGCTTTTGCAAAACAATTTTTGTGCATCAGCTTTGGTTTTGTTTATGAATGCAATGCATAGCATTTTTATGCTATGGATTTTCGGTATTGCAAATTTGCCAAGCCATGACAAATGCAAATGCGTGTATTTTGTTTGTGTATTGCAAATAATTTGCAATACAAATTTGCAATGCAATGATGCTAGGCCATTTGCACCGGATCGCGAATAGCCCTATTGTATATGGGACGTTCCGCGTCAACGAATACGAGGACCAAAATTATATATCACGGATTACAAAGATTAAGGTCCTAATTAGGCAGCAAAAATAAAAATAAAACCACGTGACAAATTACGCCTAAAAACTCTACTCAGCGGTGGTGTGGAAATTAATTTTACGCCGCTACCGTCACTTCGCTATGTTTAGCACGTTCCCGTTCGATATCTACGCGTCGCACAAAAAAATGTTCGTATAAAAGTTGTGGAGAATGAAATTCTCTACAAATCTGGCATTTAAATATGCCACGTATCTTCCACAGAAGTTGTTCAAAATTGGCGAAAGCCGTAATAATTTATAATTGTCGCACTTCTTGCTAATTATTTACAGTAATAATTTTTTTTTTTTCACGGTGGGAAACTAAATTCTCTACAAATTTATATTAAAGCTTTTTGTACGACAAATGCAAAACCAGCTTGGAAATAGCAAAAAAAAAACAATGTACCAATTTGATCTAAATTTACTGGGCTATTTGTATTTGTATTTTATAACGATTTCCTCGCGACAACAACCTTTTTAATCAATAAAATTAACTGATTTTCTGGTTATCATGAACGAAATTTGACAACAATTTATAATATTACAAATTCTAAAATCATTCGCAGCACCAACATCTAAAATGCATATCTGTGGAACAGAGGCGTCGATGTGTCAGCAACAAATCCTTTGAAACAAAAACTTGCACAATATATATACACTTTTAAAAATAGTAAACAAACTTTATTTGTTTTCTTTAGTTTTGCTTTGTTTTTGTTGTTTTTTCTTTTCGAAATGCGCATTCAAATTTGATTGCATGTTAATTACTCCACAATTATCTATCACTTAGGTAGGTATGTACAAATTACAATAATGCATGCAGCAGAATCTGATTTCATTTAGCGCATGTTAATATTTGTAAGTTGATTTTAATATTTAGATCTCATAATTTTTTATTTCTACTTCTGCTTGCGCTTCCATAAAAATTGTACGGCCTAATTAATGTAACAGAATTGTTTGCCATGTATGCAAAATTGTAATTTGCTGCACATATGTATTTTCTTTTTCGTAACTCAATTTTTCTTTTTATATAGGTATGATGCATGCATATTGTATACAAATACAATACAGATATTATACGCATGCTTAGTTAGTTCGTATTTATACTTCGGAATGCTAGTCTCTACTTACTGTTGCAATCAATTTACGTACATATGTTTTATATTGAATAAATTGAATATGGAATAATTTTCAATGGTTATTACTCAGTGCCTATAGAAAGCATCCCTGCCAAAATGCTGCTTAATAGTCAGCGTAAAAACTAATTTTTAGTGGGTTTTCTACGCATTTAAGACGTCATATCGTTGCCTAAAACTAGTAGTTGATAAGTATTTAAAATGAGCAAGATTAAGTGGAAAATTAGTTCTTACATTCTGGCAAAAGTCACGGCTGATCTTACCGCAGGCTAACCGACATACATATACATATGTATAACTACCAAGTGTTTTGGAGAACTAATTGCATTAATTGTATATAAAGGAATCACTGAGGTAATTTGAGTAAAATGATAAAGAATAATCAAAACAAAATGAAACCTAGCTGAGGAACTAAAATAACTTCATTTAACTGAACCCTATTATGTGTTATCATTTTAGCTTATAGTGAAATATAAATTTGAAGAATGTATAGGATTTATGTTTTGTGACTGCTAAAAACTTGTTTATTTCTTCTTATTTTTAGCATTTTTGCCATCTGCATTATTTTCCACTTTTTGCTTCTTCTTTTGTGGTTGTGCCTCTTCTTCGTCTTCCTCGCCAGTCTCCTCGTCGGTCTCTTCGTCCTCGATATCGACAACGTCGTCCTTAATATTCTGGCCCATAATGTAAACAGGTCCATTGCCCTTGATCAACTTGAATGTCACAGATGTTTCGAAAAATTCCACATCGGGATTCACGGCGCGTGTTTCACCAGCCTTTAGTACGGCGATGGGAATTTTGAGTGAGTCCTTAACTGTATACACCTGCAAAACATAGAAGTAAAAATAAAATTGTGGTGAGATGTAATTCAAAAATTAATAATAATATTATATGTGCCATGGCGTAATTACACCAGGTGAAGTAATTAGTGCGAGAAGAAACATTTTGATTGTGTGCATATATTTGAAACACATTTGCACATATCGCTATCTTAATATAGAAAGGCTCTTTCTATCACTTTTGTTTCTTTAATGAGTGATTGAAAATCGTAAGTGGAGTTAAATGTTGCCGTGTATTGAAGACTACCGACTTCCGTATAATTTTTTAGCAACTTAAAACTTTACATTACAACAAACATTATACTAAAATTTAATGGGCTAAATTAAACTTACGAAGCGCACTCGCTATCAAATGTCGTGAGCCCAAAATCAAATTTCGATTCGAGTTACGGAGCCTGACTGAAAGTTTAAGATGTTGATGAAAATTTGCTGAATTTTCCTTAATTTACTCTAAAATTTGAAATTTTGAATTATGCACATAGCTTTTGTTTTAGAATTGCCCATATTTTTTAAGAAAAATAAACGAAAAACATTGCGAATATCGTAAAAAAATCAACGCAAAGAACTGATACTTCTGTTAGTCACTGTATCTGCAATTTATGGAAATAAGTATTAGATGGTTGTCTTATCTCAGCTCTTAAGATATGCACAAGTGTGTTCTGAATTTTTTTTTTTTAATTGCAGTCTTAAAAAGAAATACAAATTATTTTTCCGTCATAATCATATGGTTGTGTAATCCACTCTTGAAGTTTTTTTCGGTTATATGTGGTTTTAACAGTACCGCGAGTTATACTAGTGCTTGCTACAATGAACGCTTGGCAGCGAATGCTTTGGCCACTAAATTAACATACTAACGACAGATAAATTGATATTTGATATCAGTAAATGCATTAAAAATGGTATTTCTGGCCCGCACTTCATTAAAAAGGAAAAATATTTCACATAATTTTAATTATTTGCAACAGCTCACGACAGTTGAGTGTTGGCCATCTTTCTGCTTTATGTTTTCTTTTCTCGAAAAAAAAGTCACCTTCTTATATGGCAACATTATCAGAGTGCAACATTTTAAAGAAAGAAAACGTAATATGCATGTGAAGATGCTGAGAAAATAATACGAAAACTTGACAGCCCTAGCGCAGGGCAGAATACAGGCAACATTATTTCGACTGCATTTGAATTCATGAATTCTGTGTTCGTATGGAATAGTACCTTATGTCGGGAAGCCGGATTTAGTATAGTGCGGCATTCTCTTTATGCTTTGAAGGACAAGGAATTTTTTTGATGAGACTTAATAAGAATATGGACTTGCTAGTATGGGAACTATTTATTGCACGTTTATTGGTCAATAGTTCTTCAACGGCTCAGCGCCTGTGAGTCATTCGCAATCGTATGCTGCCAATGCCGATTTATACTAAAGTCAACCTTTCGACATAAGCTACTATTCCATACGAACGAGTCGACTCTCGAAAAACGACTGGCATTCGACACGACTCTCGCAATGAGGGTGATTAATTACGTAACTATCGAATATTATTTGTCAAATTTCTGTATATATATATATATATATTTGTGGATTCATCGCTAGTTTTTTTCTACTTTTTCTTAGACAAGTGTAATTATTATTTTCCGTGTTTTCTCTTAATACTTAGCACACAAATACACCAAATAATTTTGAGCGGTCTTACTATGCAAATACTCCTCTGAGCGCCGTCTTCAGCGCGACAACATTTATTTTGTTTTAGTGATAATTGTCAAAATTAGCACTCCGCGAAATAAAGATAAAATGGAATGGGAAAAAGTTGACAGCCAAGTTCTCAAATTAAATAAGAATCAAATCAAGGCGAATTTAATATCTATTGATAAGTGGGACTTGGCGTGCAATATAATATATTATATTAATATAATATCAATATAATATATTATATTAATATAATATATCGTCGATGTTTTTGCAAAACCTCCTATCTTATGGCACTCAAATTTTACAGGAGAGCGAAAAAACGGTTTATTCTTTGAAGGCATTGCCTTGACAGGCAAGAGTTCAGGGTTACCAAATCTCATGTTTGCCACAACGGCGATTTAGGCGATTTTGCAAAAACATCGACGATATATGTACATTACTGCATCACTCCCCACACAAAAAAAAATCGGTACTTGGAATTATAAAATCTATTATATTTTAAGACGTCCACCAAAATATTTCGAAAAAAAATATTAAGATTTATGTGAGCTGGTCCGATTTGAAAATACCTCCAAAAATGGAGTTTTTTATGAATAAAAATAGTTTCTTAAAGATGTTTTTTAAAAAAATCCCCTCAAATGACAAAACGGTTTAATATTTGCATAAAAATAGTTTTAAAAATAAAAAAAAAGATTGAACGGAATCGTAATAATGAGATTTTTGATGCTGTTTCTAACTTTTTTCAAAGACTGGTATAAGAAAAACTTGAATAACTGAACCTAAACTCTCCCGATTTAGACTTGTGAAGTATCATTGGAAAGCTATTTTCT